CCCCATCCAGTTTCAGCTGGAGAGAGGCTGAAAGTCTTTTCATCTGTTAATGGGAGGCTTCAGAGGAGTAATTTTATTTCAGACTCAGAGAGGAGTCGGTGGAGGGAGGAGCAGGTCACTAGTGAATGGATTATGTTTGATCACTTCTCACAGACCTGGCTTTAAAAAGTTAGAGGTTTTCTTTCCCATCTCCCCAGATCTGCCGTCTGTCCTCAGCATCTGTTCCCAAGTAATGGCTTTTGATGTGTGTGGGGAAATATAAAAAATGGAACCAGAGCCTGTCATATTTACTTATATTTCCAGGTCCCAGGGAAAGCACTTGCTCCTTTCAGTATGCCTCCAGCATAGGAAGGGTTTAAAAGCTTCAGCCTGGAATGCAGAGGGGCCATCAAACTGTGCTGATGAATAAATGATTAAAACCAGAGTCGCACAGAGCACAAACAGTTTGGGGTTATAACAAACATGAGACGAAGCCACCGAGGGCCTGATTTCTCTTTGAAGAGAAGAATGTTTCTCCCTCTCTGCATATTGGTCGTGAAGTGTTGGAGCCTCAGTCCCTGGGAGAGAGCAGAGCTCCCCTTGGTGCTCTCCTACCTCATGTGCCCATCTGCTTTTCTGGGATAATTTGGTGTTGGATGTGTGTGCGTGGTCCTGCAGTCCCTTGGATGCTGCTGTTGAGTTACAGGAGCTTCCCACCCTTGTGTTTGGCACGGATCTCACCAGAGAAGCAGCTGCTCTGGCCACAGCCCTGTTGCTCCCACAGGCATTCCAAAAATCACCGGCATCCCTTTTCCTCGATGGTGCTTCCCACATGGCAGCAGTCAGTGCTGAACACAGACCCATCTCCCCGAGCAAGAGGGGAGTAAAGGGCTGAGTTAACCTTGCATTAGAGGCATTGTTATTGTTGAAAAGGTTTGAAAAGATTCAATTACAACAGAAAATGGCACAATAATTTTGTAGAAGAGAGGAGCTGTTGTGTCTGTCAATAGAGGCTGCACCGCGGGCTGGCTGTGATCCGTTTGTGGGCTGATGGAAAAATCCATGCTGATATTTGCTTCCTTTACAGCTTGCAGTTCTCCTGGCTGGTTTTGGGAATCTTCTATCAGCCAAAATCTTACATGGTTTAGCACATGGGTTTAAACTGGGTTTGCCACTGTTTCTTCTCCTTTTGCATGAGAAAATGCCCAGATATTGGGTTTGGCGTTTCAGGCTGGTTTGGGGCATTGCACATCTCCCTCACTAAAGGGAAAAGTTGTTGCCTTTTCTTCTCTGTGCTCACATCTCTTCCTTCAGGTGATGTTAGCAGGCCTGGAGGCTGGTTGGGAAGGTTGCTGTATGGACTGACCATCCTCACTCACCATCTGTGTCCTGGGAAAAATACGTGGGAAAAATCTCCCAGCTGTGCCTTGCTGTGCTTGTTTTGTACCCACTGGTGTCATTTTCTCCTTTTTTTTTTTTTTCCTTTAATGATGGCAAAATCCCACTGGCCAGCTCATGATATGCTTTAGAGCAGTGGGAGGGGAGGAAAATCAGGAATGTCACGCTGACAGGAAGGCTCTTGGGAACGTTAGGTCTCCCACTTCTCTGCTGGCACAGGCAGCCCTGACCCAAAGCATTTGCTGCCCTTATTGCTGGTGGGAAGCTCCATCCACTCTTGCTTTCTTGCAGTGAGAAACTTTTTGTTTCTAACCCTTGGTTATCTTAAAAGGAATCCTAATCAATCTTCTGAGCATATTCCATGGAAAGGCTGCAGAGCCTGGCAGCCCTGGCATGTGGTGCCATGTTTGCTTCCCAAATCCATGGCTTTTTAAAAGCACTTGGAGGTATCAGATGAGCACAACAAAACAGAGCATTGGGCTGGCAGTGCCCTGTGCCCAGGGAATGAACGTGGTGACAGTGACAGGGGATAACCCAGGGGGGATGGATGGTGCTGCTCCAGTCCTGGCACTGCACAGGGAATGAACATGGTGACAGTGACAGGGGATAACCCAGGGGGATGGATGGTGCTGCTCCAGGCCCAGTGCTGCACAGGGAATGAACATGGTGACAGTGACAGGGGATAACCCAGGGGGATGGACAGTGCTGCTCCAGGCCCAGTGCTGCACAGGGAATGAACATGGTGACAGTGACAGGGGATAACCCAGGGGGATGGATGGTGCTGCTCCAGGCCCAGTGCTGCACAGGGAATGAACATGGTGACAGTGACAGGGGATAACCCAGGGGGATGGATGGTGCTGCTCCAGGCCCAGTGCTGCACAGGGAATGAACATGGTGACAGTGACAGGGGATAACCCAGGGGGATGGACGGTCCTGCTCCAAGGCTGGCCCTGTCAGAGGGTGCTGGGTGCTGCCAGGACAAAGCTGGGGCCTTGCACAGGGTTGTTTGATCAGTGCCAGGTAACGAGGCTTTCCCAGATCCTTCTCTCAAGCCTGCAGTTAGCTGGAAGCCAGGAATAGCTGTTCCAGCTGGCTGGGCAGTGCCAAGCCCTCCGGCCAGCTTGGGCTCTGTGGAGCGCTCAGAGCTGCCAGCTTTGTACCACGGCTCAGTCCTGCTAAAACACGTGGGAAGGATCCAGATTTGGCTGAGCAGGAGCAGAGCAGGTGGAGAGGTTTGGCTGTCAGCAGATCACCCCAGCAGCTGGTGGCACAAATCCAGAGGCAGCTGCTTATCCTCAGGAAGGGGCTGTTGCTGGGTGAGCTGGACTGACATGGAAAAGCTGCTCCTGTGGCTGCAGTGCAGGATTTTATCTAAGGCAGGAGTTGAGCTGGCACGTGGGGACTGGGGACTCTGGGGTGCAAGGGAGACTTGCTCTGTTTGCATGGGTTTGGTGTTTTTGAGATCCAAAGTCTGGCTGCATGGCCAGGCTGGAAGTCTGCCTGCACTCCCACAGCTGCTCAGGACTTGGGAAGGCAAAACAAAATCACACAGCAAGGATTGAACAAGCCCTGAGCATCTGTTTCCCTTCAATCCCCTCGGCACAGTCTGGTCCCTGCTGGCCATCACACGTCCTTCCCTGCCCACAGCAACGGCTCTGGGGAGCACCAGGCTGAGGAGGGCAGATCCATCCAGCCCTGGCTTTGGAGAGATCCTTCTCCACCCTGCTGCCTAGAATGGGAAAGATAGTGGGGAAAAAGGGGGCTGGGAAATGACGCCTTGGGGTTCAGCTTTTACGTTTTTCAGGTTCTCTGCTGCCTGGTGTGTAACTCTGAAACTTCCTGTGAGGTGTTAGTAGGGTCTCTTCACAGGGTGGTTGGACAAAACAATCCCTTCCCAGCTGGAGAATCAAGGACAGCCTTAGCCAAAAAGCACAAACAGCTGTGAAGGGAAGGGAGCAAGGCAGGGGGTTGAGACTTCATGAGCTGGAGCTGTAACTGGACAGTTAAACCCAATATGTAGATGAACCAAAACTTATAAAAGTGTAAAAACTTGTGCCTGGGATCCACCTTGGATTCAACCTGGGTGCAGCCCTGGCCAGGCTCTTGTGCTGCCCAAGGCCTTGCAGTAAATACCTACACTGTCCATTTATCTCTGTCAGGTCTCTGTTCCATACCAGCCTCTCAAGGCATCAGTTCAAACACAGAGGGGGTTAGACCCCTGTAAATGCAATTTTACCTAATCTGGCTGGTAGGGGGTTTCTGCAGGGACTGAAATGTTCCCTGTCTGGCTGTGCCACCATCAGTGCAGGAAGTCACATCCCAGCTCTGCTCTCCTTTCCCAGGGCATCCTGCAGTGTTCATGTCCCACCTGCCGGGGTGTGCAGTGCCTCTGCCCCTTGTGCATTCATCTCTCCCCATGAGGGCCAGCCCTGGGCTGGGGGCAGCGTGAGCTCCCTCCTGTGGGGTGGGACGGTGCCTCTGAGGATGTGTCCTGCTCTCCTGCTCTGTTAACCACAACCCCCCGGTGCTGGGAGGGTTTTTAGGAGCTGATTGTTGTGGAGCTGTGGAGCAGCGGAGTGCGAGCTGCGGGGGGAGGAGAGAGGGATGAAAGGGAGGGAAGGGGCAGAGTGACAGCATGAAGGAGAATCCCTGGCTCACCTTCAGTCAGGGCCCAGCTCGTGTGCAGCTGAGCGTGCCGGGAGCGCCGAGGCAGCGCTCGGTGTCAGGAGCTGTTAGGGAACGCATTTGTCACCGGGGGGCAGGGACAGAGCACGGGGACAGCAGTGTGGGGCTCTGATTTATTGATGGCTTTGCTTCCCTCCTGCCTTGGGAAGAGCTTGCCTGGCAGGGACAGTGCTGAGGTGTGGGAGCAATGCGCTCAGGTGTGACTGTGTGCCTCTGAGCCGTGGTTGGCTCCCATCCCTGAGGTGTTGTTGGAATTTTTCCCCATTCATGGTTCCCACAGGCCAGCAGGAGCTGCAGCTGAAGAACATTATCCCCACAGGGATCATTCCTCTCAGGAACAGTGTGGTTGGGTTGGTGGCCCTCCTGAAAAGCTGCTGCTGTCTGCTGCTGCCCGTGCTTTACCTGTGCATTCTGATGGCTCCTCTGAGCTCACCAGGGATACTGCTCTCTCACAGCACCTCACCACTTTCATGAAATCTCACTCCCAGTGCTTGATCTCCCTCTTCCCAGCTTTGCCTCAGAGGTTGAAGTCCTTGGGCTCCAAGCTGTGTATTGTGTATCAGGCGTGGGCTGTGTCTTTCCAAAGAAGAGCTCCCATGCTTTGGAAAACTGGTGGCTGTGTGCAGTCTTTGAAGAGCTGTGCATGATAGGGGAATGAGCTGATTCTGCCACAAGCTTCCATCTTTGTGAGCAAATTCTTGGCTACAACATGACAGGACTGACAAATGCCATTTCCATCATCCTGAGAGTGATGGTGGGTGGGGGATCCACCGGTGGGACGAGAGATGAGCGTTATGCCTAGGGAAATAAGGCCATGATGAAAGTTGGGAGCTTGTTTTGGACAGGGGTGGGGGCACACAACAGCTTCCAGCTGTACTCCCAAGAGATCTTGGATAGCAAAGGTGTATTTTCACCCATGTGTGCCCCTTCCTTCCTAGGTGTGGAAGAAGCTCCTGAGCTCCAAAGCTCCCCGTGTCAATGTGTTCATGGCAGTGCCCACCATCTATGCCAAGCTGATGGAATATTATGATGAGCATTTCACCCAGCCCCAGGTGCAGGATTTCGTGCGTGCCTATTGCCAGGAGAACATCAGGTGGGTGAGCTGCTGGCTCTCTGGGTGCTCCAGGTTTTCCTTTCAGCATCACCTCTTTCAGTGCTGGCTGTTGTGCTTTGGTGTCTCTGTGACAGGAACAAGGGTGACATTATTTAATTATGAGCCACTCTTGCATGGGAGAGCCAGAAGGGACTCGTTGTGTGTCACCCTGTGGAACACATGGTCCTGCAGCCCAGGATCTCTTGTAAGAGGCTGTCCTGGTTAGGTTAAACCCCACATCAGGGTGAGAATGTGAGGGACATCTTTGGTGCTGGTTAAAGGGATTTTGGGGCTGCAGGTTTTACGCAGAGCTGTTTGTGCCCCTGTGTCAGGCTGCAAACTCCCTGGAGCAAAGCTTCTCTCAGATACTCTCTTACCTGGCCTTTCCCTGTGCAGGTTAATGGTGTCAGGCTCAGCAGCCCTGCCTGTGCCTGTCCTGGAGAAGTGGAAGAGCATCACGGGGCACACCTTGCTGGAGAGGTATGGGATGACTGAGATTGGGATGGCGCTTTCTAACCCTTTGCATGGAGTCCGAGTGCCAGGTAGGAGTCCCCAGGGGTGCCCCTGTTTGGAGGCCTGTGCTGGGGGTGCTCTGGGCTGTTCTGTGCACAGGAGTGAGGAGAGGCCACGCTGGGAACAAGGCTGCTGGGACCTGGCACTGGGGGTTCAGGGTGTGGGTGTGTGGGAAGGGGCTGCTGGGCTGCCCAGGGATCAGAGCTGTGTGTGCAGAGCTGGCAGTGGTGCCCGCTGCCCACCAGGCTGGCACACTCCAGACTGATGCTCTGTTGCTTCCAAAATCTTTGTGAATTGAGGGAGTGTTGCTTCAGCTCCTGCTGCCTGGAGTTGTATTTCTGGGTGGTGTCACACAGGATTCTCCACACAGCCGTGCTTGTCCAACCCATCAGTGCTGAACACTCAAAATAGGATGTCTGCTCACTCTTATTTTAGTGCCTGTTTCTTGCCTCTTCAGGAATTCAAAGTTGTCACACCTCGCTGTACACTCTGGGCCTGTTCTCTCCTTGTCTTTCCCCCCCTTCTCTGAGCTCCACTTTGTGATTCCTCTCCATGGCTGTACTTTCTGGAACCTAGAAATAAATTGATCTGAGACATTGCAAATGTGAAATGCCCCCACTCTCCCTGTGGTTGGAGCGTGGCCATCTGTGTGCCCACCCCGTGCCACCTGCCTCCCCACAGGCTGTCTGTGCAGGCATGGCACCATATGCAGCCTCCTGGGGAACTGGTGTTACCCCACAGGGGGTCCTGGGTGTCACAGCCTCCCACAGCGCCCCAACCCCATGGCACGCAGGAGCTGGGTCCTGCAGGGGTGGCTCAGGGAGAGGAGAAGCCAAAACTCCCCCTCATTGACTCCTCAGCCTGAGAACAGCTTGGAACACAAACTCTGTTTTACTTTTGCAGGGTAACTGTCATTCCCTCACCCCACCTCAGCCAGATTTATCTCCCTCCAGCAGGCAGGAGAGGGAGGCAGGCAGGAAAAACAAGACTCCCATCTGCAGGAGCTCGAGCTGTGTGTGAGCCCCACAGCCCAGGGTGACAGGGCAGGGATCATTGCACTGGCCCTGGGTTATATTTGCTTTTTATTGATTTTCTTGAGGGAAAAGGAATGGACACTCCAGAAATTTCCAAGGGGACTAAAAGAGAAAAGGAGTAAGACTGAAAGCAGCATGGCAGTGCACAAGCTGGCACCCAGGAGGGCAGCTCCTGCCCCAGGGCTGCTGGCTGTGCTCCTGAGCATCATCCCTGTGGATCCTGGGGGCTGCAGGGCACCTGGGCACAAAGCAGAGGGGCTGGGGACTGTCACTCCAGCCCCATCCAGGGGCTCCTGCAACCCCCAGAGGGGAGACAAGTGTCTCACAAAGGTGGGGATCAGCAAGAAGCCGTTCAGAAATGAGGCTATAATTGAATAGGCTTGATTAATTTATTTCAGGAAGTGTCAGCTGGGAAGCAGATGGGTGAAGCTGAGGCATAATTTACTGGAGCTGTGAAAAAGCTTTTGATCTGGTGCCCTGTTAGAGGCTGGCTAGGAGGTCACCAGGTACCACAGAGATCCCAGAGGCAGCTGAGGTGGGCTGGGAGCAGGGGACATCTGCCAGAGGGTCTCTCCTGGACTGGGAGCAGCACAGGACCTCCTCCCCTGCTCTGACCTGTTGGAGTGAGCCCAGAGGAGGCACCAGGAGGAGCAGAGGGGGGGAGCAGCCGTGCTGAGAGAATTGGGATTGTTGTTGGGGAAGAGAGGGCTGTGGTGTGACCTAATTGTGGCCTTCAGTTCCTGAAAGGACCAACAAGGGAGATGGAGTGTGGACAAGGGGCTGGAGTGACAAAACAAGGGGGAATGGCTTCACAATTAACTTCAGGTTTAGATTAGATATTAGTAAGAAATTCTTGGCTATGAGGCTGCTGAGGCCCTTCTCTGGGTGCCCAGAGCAGCTGTGGATCCCTGGCAGTGCCCAAGGCCAGGCTGGACAGAGCTGGGAGCACCCTGGGACAGTGGATGGTGTCCCTGCCCATCACAGGGAGTGGAATGAAATGAGCTTTAAGGTCCTTCCAAACCATTCTGTGATTCATGAGCCTCTGAGGAAAGATCCTGGGGCTTCCTTTGCCTTCTTGGTGTGACAGGAGAAAGGTGGAGTCCTTGGACCCTGCCCATCCTGCCCGTGTCCCCAGCACTGTGTCCCCACTCTCCACCCACAGCACAGGTCTGAAGGGGCAGGCATGGGGTGTGGGAGCTTTAATTTCCAGAAGCAGCAAAGATGAAAGATTTGAAAGGTAAATGTTTGCTTGTATATGGTTAAAACCCTGCTTAAAATGCCTCTGTTTTCACCAGCTCTCATTCTAATCCCCCCTGGTGCTGTTACTGTGAAGGGAGATGAATAATTCATGGCCGGAGAATGCCTCACTGGGCCTAATCACCACTTTAATTGGAGGTTTAGATCAGAGCAGCTAATAGCTGCTACAGCGGGGACTCCGTGTATTGTTGACAGTGAGATCCTTGAGTGCCTTATCGTCGGCCTGCTCCAATCCTCCCGGGACTCAGCGGCCCCAGCTACCCAGATACCGAAGGACACAGAGCACGGGGCCAATTAAATTTATCTGGGAAGACCTGACAACTTTTTTAAGCGGAGGAGAGGGGGTGAAAGCAGAGTGGTGTCACCCCCTCCCGCCTTGCCTGCAGAGCGGTGACACCGCGGGCCAGGCGCCAGCAGTGCTGAGCATCCAGGAGCCTGCACATTGCAGGGGTGCAGAGGGCAGGGAGCAGAGATTTCTCCCCAGTTTCCCCTCAGGGTTATGGCTGGGGACAAAAGGGAGTGCCAGCATTGCTGAGCATCCAGGAGCCTGCACATTGCAGGGGTGCAGAGGGCAGGGAGCAGAGATTTCTCCCCAGTTTCCCCTCAGGGTTATGGCTGGGGGGAAAAGGAAGCCAGTGCAGAGTGTTGGCCCCTTCTGATCACCCCAGCTGTGGCTTGATGAAGGCAGGACCTCTGGGGCTGCTCCTTTGGGAACGAGCCCAAATTTCTGCTGACCTGTTGGAGTTGGCACAGGGTGTGTTTTGACACCTGGGAAGCTCCAGTCATTGTTTTTGCACAAATTCTATTAATCCTGTCAGGTTGGTGGAGCTCTAATCAATGGTAAGGGCTTTTTCAGCCTTTACAGATGTTGATTTCAAAGTTTGTCACTTTTCTTAAACACCAGAAAAGCTTCTGCAGACAGAAACATAAGGAAGCAGCTCTCCACCAGGGACTTGTTTTACATGCTGGTTTTATTTTAGCCAAGCAGGAGAGGAACTGGTGGGGCTGTGTTAGTAACTGTGATCTGAAACACTGTGTGGGGAACATGCCACCTCCTCTGTGCCAGCCCTGTGCTCATCTTTGGTGTCTCATTGCCAAGGGCTGGGGCCAGCAGTGGGCACTAATCCTGGGGTCCTGCTGCCCATGAATCACTGCCCATCTCCACGTTGAGGTCAGCAGCTTGCATCCAGGGAAGGAGCATCTTCCAGGAAGGCATCTGGCTCATCTTCATTTGAAAAATTCCAAGTCTGTGAGAGCCCCTGGCAGTTCCTTGCATTGGTTTCTGCTCCCTCCATGAGCTTTCCAGGACTGGTGCCTGCCCACAGACGTGCCATGTTTTGTGGGCAGATTGGAGTCTGTTCACACACAGTTTTTCACCCTGGAGGAACCGTTCCCACAGAAGTCTAGAAGGTGACTCCAGCAACCTTCCATGCAACACTGAGGGTGTTTTCTGTGACTTGTTACTTGCTATGAGGCCTCTTGGAGCCTGCCATGGCAGGTGCAGGATTGTTTATAACACATATGGTGTGATTTTTAGGGTTGTCCTGTGCAGGGCCAGGAGCTGGACTTGATGATCCTTGTGGGATCCAACTTCTGTGATTCTCTGATTCCGTAAATACCTCGACACCGTACCTCAGGGCACTGCTGCCTCGTGCCCCCTCCTTGCCCTGCTGCAGCCCTGTGTCTCTGATTCCTGGCAGTGTGTGGCCTGGAGCTGGCAGCAGCCCAGGGGTGCTGGTGCTGAGGGGAGGCCGTGGCTGTGCTGTCTGACCAGAGTGCCAAAGGCAGTTCTGAGCGGAGCTGACACGGATCACGGGGCTGCCACGTCGCTTTGTGTTTATTTCCAGCCAGATTTGCTAATTGTTCGGGTAGTTTTGCCGCAATAAAATCTCACTCCCTCATAGCCCATCTGCTCCTGGCTGATCCTGCAGGGATGCCATAAATCTGGGCTACGACGACATATCCATTTCCATGGCAACTGACCAGTGTAGCAGACACAATCATGATGTCACGGATAGCACATCTCCAGGGCTTCAACAGGAGAGGGAGAGCAGGGCAGGGAAAATGCCACTCCAACCCAAATGCCTGAAATGTGAGGCAGACAGGTTCTGCACTCCCTGCTCTAGGGAATTCCCAGTGTCAAGGTGACCCTGGCAGACCTGGAAAGCATCAACTGGAGGCACTTCAGGGGAAAAAATGATCATCCTTTAAAGAGCACAGTTACCAATTTCTGGAATCACAGAATGGTTTGGTTTGGAAGGGGTCCCTCAGCTCATCTTGTTCCATCCCCCCTGCCCTGGGCAGGGACACCTTTCACTAGCTCAGGTTGCTCCATGCCCTGTCCAGCGTGGCCTTGGGCACTGCCAGGGATCCAGGGGCGGCCCTGGGCACCTGTGCCAGGGCCTCAGCACCCTCACTGGGAAGGATTTCTCCCTGATATCCCATCTAACCCTGCCCTCTGGCTGTGGGAAGCCATTCCCCCTTGTCCTGCTACTCCAGGCCCTTGTGAAAAGTCCTTCTCCAGCTGAAACTCACTCCTGCCCAGTCCTGCTGAGCCACAGGCTGCTGTGAGCTGCTGTCCCTCTCCCTGCTCACAGGGGATGAAGGTCACAGGCCCCATCAGGAGCCATCAGGAACCCTCAGGAGGCCGAGTGAGGCCTGCTGAGATCTGCTGCCCATCCCACAGGTCACAGAACAGAGCTGCCCTCTCTGCTGAGCTCTCAGGTGCTCCCCAGCAAGGACAGGCCCTGAACTTTCCCAGGGGGTGGGAAAGCTGCAGGTTGGGGAGCTCTGGGTCCCAGACGCAGCTTGGAGCTCAGCAGTGGTCCTTGTGACACTGTGTCAGCTCCTTGGCTTTGAAACTGAAACCTGTGCAAGAACGGGGTGGTTTTGATCCCCGCTTTTCTCCTGTGATGTTTTCTATCCAGTCTATTGATGTCTCCTAAAACTGAGATAATCCCTGGCAATTCTCAGCTGTTGAGCCTTTGCCTCCCCTGTCAGGTGCAGGCTGTAGAGGAGCAGAGTGATTGCTGTGCTCTCTCTTTTCACAGCTTTGTGTAGCTTTTGTGGTGCCTTTCTTTTTTTTTCTTTAAAAAAAAAACAAACAAAAAAGAAACAGCTTAATTCCTGAGCTCTGAAGAGGTGCAGATGTCTTCAAAGAGTGGCCAGGAGGGTCTGTTCAGGGTTGGAGACCCGTTCAGAGGCATTCCCACACTGCCTGCTCCTGACACACGGTGGGATCACCCCTTCCTGAAGGGACACCCCCAGCTAGGAAGTCCTTTAGGGCAGCACAGCAAATGCCATTGCTAGAGATGCTGTTTGCATCCCTGGCTGTGTGCTTTCCCTGCTGTGCCCCTCTCAGGACTCTAGCTGGTCACAGTGACCCCGAGATGTGTTAGAAAGTCTCTTTTCCCAGCCCAGTGCTCGAAGAAGGAGTCAGAGCTCTGCATTTCTCAGTCTCAAGGTTGTTTATTGTTTCTTATCTATAAAATTCTTTCTCCTGTCCAACCAAGACATTCAGAGGCACTCTGCCTCCCCTGGGGTGGTGTTATCTTTTTATACTAAAAACTACATGTATAATATTTACAGTTTCTTCCCAATACCTATCACCTATGTTAGACAGTGGGCTTCTACTCTAAACCAATTTAAAAGTGCCAACATCCCTGCAGAAGATGGAGGCCAAGAAGAAGAAGGAGAAAGGCTGGACACGCCCAGATTCCTCCATCTTGCCCCCTGAACCTTCATTCTAAAAACCCCAAAAATCTCTTTTTCACCCTGGGATAAATTCACTATCATTATCCTTAAACTGGCTTGCAGGTGCTCATACAAGGTTGGTAATTTGCCCCATGGGTCATAAGTGTCTTGGGCTCTGTGCCAGGGTGTCTGAGCCCCCTGGCAGGGGTTTGGCAGTCCAGGGCAGCCAGAGGGATGTGCTGGGTTCCAACATGCCCATTTTCCATGCTCTGTCCCCCCAGGTTCCGTGGGCACCCCCCTGCCCGGCGTGGCCGTGCGCATCGCCAGCGAGACCCTGAGCGGCGGCGCCCGCTCCTACAGCATCCACGCCCAGGGCGATGAGAACAGCACACAGGTACTGCCTCCTCCTTCTCCACTGCTTCACTTTGCAAAGGTCTGCTCTCAGGGAAAGGTGTGTCCTTCCCAGCCTCCGAAAGCCCAAGGATTGTGAACTCAGTGACAGGGTTTGTTGTACTTTGTGGGTTCCTGGAGCTGTGGTGCTTTATGGATGGACAAGTGCTGTCCATGCAGTCATGGAATGGACATGGTTGGAAGGGACCTTAAAGCCCATCCAGTCCCACCCCTGCCGTGGCAGGGACACCTCCCAATAGCCCAGGATGCTCCAAGCCCCAATGTCCAGCCTGGCCTTGAGCACTGCCAGGGATCCAGGGACAGCCACAGCTTCTCTGGGTACCCAGAGAAGGCCCTCACCATCCTCACAGGCAAGAATTCCTTCCCAATATCCAATCTAAACCTATTCTATTCCACTCTGAAATAGACTCACTAGACTCTGACCAGGTCTAGTGGAAGGTCCCTCCCCACCCAAACCATTCCATGATTCTGTGCTTGGAAGGGCAGGACTGGTGGTGGCCTTGGGGGTTGCACTCATTTTGAAACAGCACTGGGGGAAACCCATCAGGTTTCCATGGAAGTCAAGCTCAGTGCTGAGCTCCACGTGATACCTGCACACAGTTGTGGTGTGCCAGAGGTCAGGCATCTGGGGTGGGAACCATAATCTACCCCAGTGCAGGGTGCTGAGTGTTCCCAGCCCCAGCCCAAGGTCCAGGCTGTCCCTTGCCCCAGAAGTGGCTGAGCAGGGTCTGCATTCCTGCCCCCTCCCCTCCACACCCTCGCTGTGGGTGTTGTGCTGCTCTGGCACATCCATCCCTGCTGGTGCCTGGGCTTGGCCGAGCAGATAAATGCAGTGTGTGACAGGAGTGACCCCAGCAGTGACGCCGTGTGGGTGGGACACAGGCAGGCGTGAGATTCAACCTGAAACAGGTTCCTTTGCTCATTCCCCTGGGAAATGGCTTCTCATGCAGCCACCTACAGGCTGAGGGTTTGAAAGGGCTGTGCCAGAGACACTGCTGGTGTAAGCACTGCTGAGAGGCTCAGGAAAATCTTTTTTTGTCTGAATTATCTGGTGGCAGGTGGAGGAGCCAGCAGGGCCACAGGCAGCCCCGTGGGTGGGCTGTGCTCAGGTTGTGTTTTGTGTTCTGATGCTGTAAGAGCTGGATCCACCCCAGACTTGTAAAGCAGCCCAGGGGACAGCTGGGAGGCACCACAGATTGTGGCTTTTATTAAAAAACCCTCTTTGCTGCTCTTTGCTCTGTGTCACTGCTGTGGTGTGGCCAAGCAGTGGGCAAAGCAGGAGGGTCCCCTTGTCGTGTTTTTGTCACTTCCTCGATGTGTGTTATATTTCACAGGTTTGTCCTCTGATCCCAGAGTTCGCTCTTGGCCTTTTTTTTCCACTTGTGTGGAACTGAGACATGAAATATAACGTGTCCCTTTTAATAATGATCCTCTAATGCTTTTTTCCCCTCAGGGATCCCTGGGCACTTTACAAATTAGGTCTCAGACACGAGAATCCCCAAAGTGCAGCTCCTTCCAGGATGAAATGTGGATGTTGTTCTACTGAATTATGAGAGGAAAAAATATGGAATGTTATTTTTTCTGCTCAGCACTCCTTCCCCTCCCTTCTCATTGCACTGAGTGACCAGAGAGGGGGAGCCCAGATGATCTGTGTGTGGTGCTGGAAGCCCAGCACCTCCCCAGGGCTTCACAGAGCTGGTGTTCACATAACTCTCCTCTTTCCTCTGGCTTCAGGCTGCTTGGGTTTATTCTGGGGGCAGAGGAATTGCCCTTTTTCCTGGTGATTTCTCACCTGCAGCCCCCAGTGGGGCCCACACCCAGAGCTCACATTCTTGCAGGAGCTCCCACCAGCGCTGGCCTTGGCTCCCTGCCCCTTGCTGATGGTTCACTTTCCGTCAGGCTCTCCCCTGGGGACCTTTAGAACCTTCTGGTGAATTCTCAAGTCATCAGCAGGGGAGGGTGTGGGGAGGTGATAATTTGCCTCTGGGCATTGACTCATGGGTTGGTTCCTCTCTGAAAAAGCTGTCCCCATGTCACCCACCATTCCTCTTGTCCCAGTTTAGCTGGGAGCTGAAGGGAGAGCAATGGTCCCATCTGTTCAGGCCACCCTAGGAGACAGTGGCTGGCTGGGTACCTCCAGGACATCCACAACATTTCCAGGAGCAGAGCAGAGCCAGCTGCCTCTGTCCCTGGGACTGTCACAAGGTGGGAAAAGCAGTCCCTGCTCCCAGCATGTGTTGGCACAGATGGCTGCGTGGAGATGCCAGGAGTTTGGGGTTTGTGTGCCCTGGGCACGGAGTGTGACTGTCCCTGGCGTGACCAGGTGGCGGCCATGGTGACAACACCTCTGCCGCCAGGGATGCTGGAATTCCTGTGCCTCACACCTGCGGTGCCAGGCAGAGCCTCACCTGCTCAGTGCCCGCCCCAGCCGTTGCTGCTGGCGCTGTGTGCATCATGCTTGGTTAATAATTCGTGTCAGGGGACACAACGTCAGTGGAATTTATTGAAAACCGGGCGGATCTGACAGTCCGAGTGCTCCTCACGCCCCAGCAGTCCGGGAAAGGCCCGGCCTTGTTAAAGCCAGCTCCTCCTCGGCACAGGGGCTGCCCCAGGGATGGGAGGAGCTGGCTGGTGTCCCCAGAGAACCCCCTGGCCTTTCCTTTGCCTCCTGTGAGAAGGATGAACAAATCCTTGCTCGCCTCCCTCGCAGGAGGGCTCTGAGCCTTATAGTGGAGGAGACTGAGGGGAGACCTCAGGGGTCTTCAACATCCTCGTGAGGGGCAGCAGAGGGGCAGGTACTGAGCTCTTCCCTCTGGTGAGCAGGGACAGGACCCAGGGAATGGCTGGAGCTGTGCCAGGAAGGTTTAGGTTGGATATCAGGAAAGCAGAGTGTGCTGGGCACTGCCCAGGCTCTCCAGGGAATGGTCCTGGCCCCGAGAGCTCCGGGAGAGTTTGGACAATGCTGTCAGGGATGCCCAGGGTGGGATTGTTGGGGGGTCTGTGCAGGATTGTTTGGATTGATGATCCCTGTGATCCCTCCCAGCTCAGGATATTCCATAATTCCATGATTCAAGCACCATGGGGCTGATCCAGGGGGATGCTGAGCAGGAGTCGGGCTCTGAGCCATCTCTCCTCCCCGGGCTCCTGCCAGCAGGTGATCTCTGTGCCGGGGCTGAGGCACCCTCAGGGCAATCTGGGAGGCGTTCACAGCTCGGCTGTGCCTGCAGAGCCCTCCCTACAGCGAGCAGAGAGCAGGCAGCGCTGCCCTTGCCAAGGAGTTGTGTGCAGAGCTCGCAGGGTCAGCGCCCTCCCTGCCCGCCTTGGGCTGGGCTCCTGCTCCTGCCCCACCTCAGCCTCAGGTCCTCCCAGAGCTGCTCCTTCCCCACCAACACGGTCTGTCCCTTTCCACGTGCGACCCAAACAGGAGGAGGAGGAGGAGGAGGAGGAGGCAGGCTGTGGGTGGCAGGAGCTGGGGAGTGTTCCTGCTCTGCCATCCCGTAACTGCCTGAGCCTGCAGCAGGGGACCGCTGCAATTTGCAAAGCTGGTTCCTGGCACACCCTGAAGATCAATAATCTACTTAGCTGAAAGTTTGCTGGATCTCTGTTCTGCCCTGCATTTTCTCCCATCCCTTGATTGGAGATTTCATTTGGATTCCTTTCCTTCAGTCCTTCTCTCAGGAGCCCTGTGCTCCGTTCATCCCGTTTGCTCAGAGTTTCAGCCTGTCCTGTGCTGCTTCCTCTGGGTGTTGTGACCAGCCTGACACATCCCCTCTGCCCCAGCCTGGCACATCCCCTCTGCCCCACCTGGCACATCCCCTCTGCCCCAGCCTGACACATCCCCTCTGCCCCAGCCTGGCACATCCCCTCTGCCCCACCTGGCACATCCCCTCTGCCCCAGCCTGGCACATCCCCTCTGCCCCACCTGGCACATCCCCTCTGCCCCAGCCTGACACATCCCCTCTGCCCCACCTGGCACATCCCCTCTGCTCCAGCAGCCTGGGGACACCTGTGACAGGCCAGCGAGGGCAGCAGGTGACAGTGCCATTGGTGTCACAGCCCTGGCTGTGTCCCCACCTCCAGCCTGTGCAGGAGTGGAGGATGCAGAGCTGTTCCCTGCAGAGATGCTGCTCTGGGAGCCCTGGGAGAAAGGCTTCTCCTCCAGCATCCCTGGGAGCAGAGCTGTGGGAGTGGGTGTGAGGGACAGCACTGCCCTGAGTCACCCCACAGTGGAGCCACTGGCATCCAGAGCAGTTCTCAGCTCCCCACCTTCCTTGGCCAGCTGCCTGCTGGGCCCATCTGACCCCTCAGGCTCAGTGATCCTTACCCACAGCCCGGGGTGCTTCATCCCATGGGGCGTTTCCCCCTGGGTTTTTGGCAGCTCTCCCTGTGGCTGTGGCGCCCAGGAAAGGGTTACAGCTCTCCAGCTCTGAGCGTTTCAGTTTGCTTTGTTCAGTGCAATGCATATTTCATACGCTCAGCTTCCCAGCTGGCAGAGGCCTGGAAACCCTGCAAGCTGTCGGGTATTGTCTCTCCTCCCCTTGTTTGTTTGTTGGCTTTTTTGGGGTTGTCATTTTTGTTGGATTTCTCTTTTTTTTTTTTTTTTTTCTTTTTTTTTTTTCATCTTTCCCAAATTGCTGTCTCTCACCAAAGGCCAGCCCTGGTGCTGACAAAGGGGGGCTGTCAATAGCTGAATGGCTCCCCAGCTGTAGCCAGGGCTGCAGCCAGGGCTTTCACGGGCAGCAATTTCCTCGCCGGGGCTGCAGAGGGAGCGTGGGGACGGGCAGGAGCTGGCAGCAGGAGGACGCTGTACCACGGGCTTCCCCCCCTTCCCAAGGTTGTCATTATCTCGTTTATCCATATGCAAGCTGTCGTGCTGGACGGGAGCGGGCTCGGCCGTGGCTGTCCCTCCCTCCCGAAAGCCACCAGCATCTCTGTCCCCTCCTCCCGTGCCCCCCGTGGCTGTGCCATCTGCTCCCAGCTCTG